GAGCCGCTCCCGCTGGCCCCCGCCGCCCGAGTTCGGAGCCCCCGCAGCCCCCACGGGCTTCGAGGCTCCTCTTCCCTGCCCGGGGTCACCCGCTCGGGTTTAGGGGCAGCGCAGGGACAGTGCCCAAAGGCCTGGCCTGGGCCGCGGTGCGAGGGCAGAGGGGCCTCACCCTGCCCGGGAGGCTGCCAGGAGGTGATGCCGGCTGGTCGGGCAGGAAGGGCCTGACGGAGGAGCCCAGCGTGGCCCGGCATGTCTGGAAAAGGCACGGGCAAACGGGTGCCCGGCAGCGGGAGCAGGGCCGTGTTTGGGAAACGGAGGGGAGGAGCTGGGCTGTCTGCACCGCCAAGATAAGAGAGGCCCTGTTAGGACAAGCAGCTCAGAGCCACAGGGGCAGGGGACACGGGGAGGGGCAGGCCTCGTACCCCCCCCTCACTGGCCACGCAGTTCATTAAAGGACCCGTGGGCAGCCCAGGAAAGAGCCTCCAGGAAGCAGAACTTCCCTGCCTGTCCAGACCACGGAACAACCCAGTGAGCGCCATGGCAGGGTGCGGCTGGGGGGCCCAGGGGCCAGGCTGGGACAGGGCAGGGAGGCCCCAGTGACCCTGCCAGGGAGGGACCGAACGTGGACAGAGGCCAGGAATGCAGAGGAGAAAGCAAGTCTGACGACTGGTCCGATGCCACAGGGACCGCACCTGACTCACCTGGGCACGTCAGGACTGGCCAGTCCACTGACCCCACCCCACGAGGCTGGGTGGAGCTCTGTGCTGTGCGTCAGAAGTGAGTTGCCCAGCCTCTCTGAGCCTTGCAGCTCAGGTGAGCCCAGGTGGGGCTGGGAGCCAGAGTCCTGGTCTGAGCCTGGCACATGCCCACGGATAGTGTCTCGGGAGCCTCTTGTCCTTCCTGGGCCTGTTTCCTCCTCTGTACACGGCACACAGCCCGCCACCAAGGAGGGAGGGAGTAGGTAAGGAAGCCAGGCCCCAGGACAGGGGGTAGGGGGACAGGGGGTAGGGAGGGGAAACTCCCGCAGGGCTCCCTCCTGCTGAGGGTCCCACCTCCTACCCTGCAAATGCACAGCCTCCCGAGCCTCCCGCACCCTCGCACACTTGCACACACATCTCATCATTTCCAGGATGAAGCCGGAGCTCCCTAGCCTGGGGGCGGCTGCTCAGCCACTAGACCCCAGACAAGACTCCCAGCGCCCCCACACACACCGCCCCAGTCGGCCTCGCTGCTGTTCTCTGTTCTGGGAGAGAGCTCCCTTTGAGGCCACGTACCGGGAAGGGACTCTGGAGCTGGCGGCTGCCAGCCTGGGTTCGTGGGGCTCACCCCGAGTGCTCCCAGACTGAGGACCAGGCCCCACACCCAGAGAAACCCCCCTCCAACAGATTGTCATCTGAGGGGTCACTAAGTGGTTTGAAGGGCTTTGCTCTAGTCAGGGCCCCCGTTTTGTAGCCTGTGGGGTGACTGAGGCCCAGAGAAGAGCAGGGTATGGGCCGTGGGGGGAGCCTGAGGCAGCAGGGCTATCTCCGGGGCAGGGAGCACCCTAGGCCCAGGCTGCAACTCTGGCTGGGTGGGGTGCCTGGCTCCCACAGGGGCATGAAGGGGTGCTGATGTTCGGGGCGCCTGGCGCCCTGGGATTTCCTGCAGTATCTTTCTGACTCACCCGGCTCTGGTTCCTAGCTGCTCCTGCCCCCCCAGCCAACCTGGAGTCTCACCTCTCCCCCAGCTCCCGCTGACTGCAGCTGAGAGTGGAAAGGTCACCAGCCCCAAGGGCCTTTGCATCCCGTCTGTCTCTGGAGACATGGAGGTGGGTCAGGTGGCCCCAGCCACACTTGCAGCACCCTGATCCCTCCGGGGTTCTCTGGCCTGCCTGAGCTGTGCCCAGGGACATGGGCTGGGGTGGCACAGAGGCCTGCAGAGAACATGGCTGTAGCCAGCAAGAGGCTCTTCCCCTTCCTGCCTCTCCCTCCCGAAGCAGGAGCAGCGGCAGGAAAGGTGGGGCAAGATTCCTGGCCCGGGCCCTTGGCCAGACTTCCGAAGCACCCGCCCTCTCCACTCCCGAGCCAAACCCTGGGCGTTGGAGGCTCTGCCAGGGCGCTGGGGTGCCCCATGGCATCCTTGGCATGGGGTGGGGTAGGCTGAGAGCCCTTCCTGTCGCCCCTCTGGCGAGGCTGGGCTCCTCTGTCACATGTCCCTGTCTCCAGAGACCTCAGAGTCCCCAGGCAGAGACTCGGTGGAAGGAGAGCTGGGTCAGCGCACCACTAGATCTTACTGTGGCACTGGGGAGCCATGGTGGGGGTTTGAGCAGCCAGAACTGGGCTGAAGGGCCTCAACCCTCTAGTGTAAGGGCTGCTTCCCTTGGCAGATCTGAGCCCTCTCGACTCCTGTTCGCTGGGCCCATCCACGGAGCAGGACGGGGTCCCTTTGCAACCATGTGGGCTCATCACTCCTGATGTGGTGGGCACCAGCCTGACCCTGCCCTCGCCAGCGCTGCCCGCCTGCCCTGTGCACTCCCAGGAGGCCTGCACCTGGCCATGTGCAGCCCCCAGGAGGGAGACCTGCTGCGGCTGGAGGAGGTCTTCTCAGCCGCCCTTGCCCAGATCGACAGCCTGGTCCTCCAGCCCCTGCTCTCGGCCGGTGAGTCCAGTGGGGAGGGGACAGGTGTCTTCCTTGGCCAGACCCTGTGCCCCAACTCCCTCAGCCTCACATGAGGACGGTGACTTGGGATCAGCATCTTCCAATAGAAGAGGGCTCTGGGCCCGTTTCTGCCTGCTCCTTCTCAAGGGGACCCCAAGAGGCCAGGCCATGAGCCTGCATTGTAGTCGGGGCCTAGTGTTGCAGAGAAGAAATCTCTCCTCCTCGGGCACAGGCCTGGGGATGGCCCTGCCCGAATCCGCCCAGAGTACCTGCTGTGCCAGCAGAGCTCTGGCTAGAAGGCGGGGTGCCTGGTCTTCCTGGGAGCGCCCGCGCTGTGCTCTCCTCGCGGCTGTGTGTGTGAAATGCAGGGCACTGGCTGCCCCTTTGGCCTCCACATTCTGGGGCTGAGAAGCCCAGACACACAGGAGACGAGTGTACGGAGCTCCCGAGATGATGGGGGTATCCTTGTTTATAGAGCGGGGGGACACACCCTTTCACTCCTCAGTGCACTGCCCACTGCTCTAGCTTGCCCTACCGCTAAACTGGAGGGCCAGGGCGTGGCACCATGGTGTGCTCCAGGGCTGTGGGGTGCTGCAGGCCCTTGCTGTGCCCTGAGACCTGCTCACCCGTGCTGTGCCCTCCCACCAGCCCCAGAGCCCTCGGAGCCCCAGGACAGGGAGTGGCTGCAGCTCTTGCAAAGGCTGCACCAGAGCGCCCAGCAGCTTTGGGAGGTGACAGAGGAGAGCCTGCACTCGCTGCGTGAGAGGCTGCACCACCCGGATGCCGCCGGGCTAGAGTCCCTGCTGCTGCTGCGGCGAGCGGACCACGTCCTGCAAGTCCACGTGGAGTAAGGCCACCCAGGCAGGGCCTCGGAGTGCCACCTGGGGTGGGGCTTACCCGAGTCAGGCTAGGTGTGGGGTATGCCTGGGCTGAGGACCACTGGGAGTCGCCTGGGGGCAGGCACTCCTTCCGGGGAGGAGACCACTGTGAGCTAGAGCTGGGTCTCTGGGGCAGAGTGGGGGGTCCCCGTTCCCCGTTCCGGGGCTGCTCAGTGTGGGGGATCTGGGACCCTGGGAGGCAGAGGCCTAGGGCCTGGGTGCAGCTTGCAGAGTGCTCCTCACCCCACTGCCTGCAGGTTCGTGGAGTCCTACACCTGCTGCCTGGTGGCACAGGCCTTTCAGAAGGGGGCGAAGAGGAGGTGAGCTGGGCTGTGAGTGGGTGGGGTGTGGGGGTGAGGGCGGGCAGGGAAGCCCCATCCCAGGGCCTGGGCATCTCCCCCAGCAGTCCCCTGGGACTAGTAGGTCTACCCTGAACCATGCTGGAAGCGGGTGCCTAGTGAGGCTAGGCGCGGAATGCGGACGCCCGCTTAGCCTGGTGCCCTGGGCAGGAAAGGAGGGCTCTGGGACCGGGTGTGCTCCGTCAGGGAGGGCAGTTGGTCCCGTGTGGGTCTCAGAGGGCGGTCTGGGGTTGGTCAGGCTGGGAGGTGGTGGTGTGGAGGGGGGCAAAGGAGGGTGAAGGTGGCCGTGGTCTCCCTGACACGCAGCGAGTACCAGCGGGGACAGCAGAAGGTGTTGCGGCAGCTCCTGGCCAGCATCGGCGCGCAGGGCTCGGGGGGCACGGCGCTGGCCCAGGCGCTCCGGCAGCCCCACACCCAGTACGTGCAGCAGTGCGTGCTCCTGCTGCTGAGCCTCGTGGATGCCACCGCAGAGGTGGGTACCGGCAGCACCCGTGGGGGCAAGGGCCAGGCCCGGGGACCCGGCTGTGCGCTCAGCTAGCTAGCAACCCTAGCTCCCACAGCACCCGGCTGTGTCTGGGGTTCCACGGGGACACGGCCCTGCCCTGGGGAGCCACAAACACAGACGGCGGCGGGTGTAGTCGGTGCGGGCGTGAGGACACGTGGCCCCAGGGCGGGCACGCGGTCACCTGAACTCCCCACTCCTCTGGAAGCACCTCCGTCCCCTCCCTGCAGGAGAGGAACACTGTGGGGGAGGCCCGCTCTGGTCTCCATCTCCGACCGCTGGGGCAGGCAGGGCCGGGCGGCCACCACAGGGTGGGGGCCCACACGCCTCCCCGCCCTCCCACTGCCCACCCTGCAGCGTCACGCCGCCCGGGAGCTGGTGGTACAGGCGGCCACGTGCTTCGGGAACCTACAGTCCTTCATGAGGCAGGCGCTGGACCAGGCCACGGCCATGCAGGCCCTCCGGCCCACCCTGAGCAGCCGCACGAGGGTGAGTTCAGGGCCTGGGGCAGTCAGCCGCTCGAGCTGCTCTGCTGTGGTTTCTGTGTCTCGGTTTCCCTATCTGGAAGGGAGTGGCTGACCCGGTGTCCAGGAGGTCCCTCTGAGCCCTCCTGGGCCGGCGTCACCTGGCTCTGGGGGGAAGGCCTGGCAGTACGGCCCCTGTCCTGGGCATGGCACCCCTCACACCCACCATGGCAAGTGCTGCCCCTGCAGGAGGTGGTCCCTGTGCCCTGAGAGGCCACGACAGGGCCAGTGTGGAGCATTAGGAGACAGGTAGGCAGGAGGGCTTGCAGAGTCCCAGCTCAGGGTTGTGGGGGCACTGCCAGAGCCATGTCGTGGGGCAGGACGGTGCCAATAAGCCTCCCCTCCCTCGCCGACCGCTCCGTCCCCTGCGGCAGCAGAGAGGAGGCAGTGAAGCTTTAAGAGCTGCGCTTCCTGCTGGGAGCCATGCACTGGAGCCACAGGATGTCATCCGCCTGGTGTCATTCCAGGTCCACTGCGGGAGGCCTCTGGGGGGTGCCTGGGGTACAGAGGAGGTGGCAGCATGGACACAGCTTCAGGGACAGTGAGCATGCGCCTCCCTCCTCGCCCCACCAGGACGTGCTCTGCACCCCTGCTCACTGCCTCCTGCAAGACAGCCAGGACATCCCTGTGACAGTCACCCCGCTGCGGGCCGAGCGTGTGCTGCTCTTCGATGATGCCCTGGTCCTGCTGCAGGTTGGGTGGGGCTGACCGGACCTGGGGACACAGTGGGGCTCTGGGGTCTGGCTGAGAAGAGTAGGACAGGGACTGGGAAGTGAGTCTCGGAGGTGGCGGGGGACAGAGGTGGAGTGCTGTCGAGGACAGTCAGCTGGAGTGGCCTGAAGGCACGGCACTGCCAGGAAAGGTCGCCAAGTCACGTGCTGGGCTCGGCCTTCTGCCAGTGTCCGCAGGTCCGTGTCTTCGTCTGGCTTCCCGCCAGCAGGTGGGGACCGTGGCAAGCTTGTCCTACAGCAGGTGCAGGCTGTGCTAGTCCCTGTCACGCCAGAGAGGGACCATGAGGGCAAGTCACAGGCAGCCTGGGTGGCCAGAGGCCTGCAGAAAAGCACCCCCAGGGCTGGCTGTGTGCGTAGAGGTGAAGAGAGCCAGATCCCACGTGGCCAGCCTCTGCTTGAATCCTGGCCCCGGAGGCTTAAAGAGCACAGCAGGCACGTGTCCAAGATCCCCACAGGACAGGGAAATGGGGGTGTGTGGTGTGGCCACACCCCGTGGGAGGCCTTTCATCCTCTCCCTCCCTGTCTCTGTCTCTTTTCTGTGAGGCAGCAGGAGCCTTAGAGGTTTCCATCAGGGGCCGGTGGCCGAGACCCTGCAGTGGCCCTGGGGGTGGGGCAGGCTGGTCCCAGGTTCCTGGGCTGGGAACAGGAGTGAGCGAGGGGCCTCTGCGCTGAGGAGCAGGGCAGGCGGCGAGGGGAGCGGCTGGGCATGCGAACCGAGCAGCTGGGGCCACACCGACATAGAGCCTGGAGCCTGGAGGTGGGCCTGGGCCAGGCCAGCGGGCACCTGACCCAGTACCCACTGCCTTCCAGGGCCACAGCGTCCACACCTTCGATCTGAAGCTGGTATGGGTGGAGCCTGGGCAGGACAGGTGAGCACCCCCTCCACTGACATCCCAGGCCTTCCCTCCATTTTCCCAACACCTGCCACACCTCGGGCCCCCCACACCCCCGGACAGAGCTGGGGCCCACTCGCACCTCTGTTTGTCTAGGGACACATTCCACCTCCTCACGCCCGAGGAAGAGCTCTCCTTTTGTGCCCAGGACCCACAAGGCCTGGTGAGTGCGGGCCAGGCAGCGGCCAGGGTCAGGCAGCGGGCCAGGGCCAGGCAGCGGGCCAGGGCCAGGCCGATGCAGAGTGTCCTGAGGGGCTGTCGGCCTCCGGGAGCAGGGTGGAGTTGGAGGGAGTCGGGGCTCCCAGGGAGCAGGGTGACGTCCATGAAGCCGGCTCTGGGCCTGTGCCGATCCCCATCTGGGGTCTTTCCCAGCCCCCCCGGGCAGGCCCTGAAACTGCGGCCCAGGTGCCCAGAGGTGGGTGGAGGCGCCCCCATGTGACAGCAGGCAGGTCACCCTGAAAGCTCAGGGGGAGGCCTCTGGCAGCTTGACCTGTCTCGTGTCCCTTCCCACAGGTGGTCTGGCAGTGGAAGGTGACCCAGGCCGTGGGCCAGGCCCTGCGTGGGAAGAAGGACTTCCCCGTGCTGGGTGTGGGCCCGCAGCCCACGGAGCTGCCCAGCCACCGCTGCACAGCCTACACCTTCCGCGCCGAGGGCCGGCTCTGCCAGGCCACCTACGAGGGCGAGTGGTGGCACGCCAAGCCCCACGGCAGGTGGGTGGCTGGAGGGCTGGGCCGCCCGAGGCAGGGCTCCTGTGTCAGAGGCCGTCTGCCGCCGCAGGGGCCGTTCTGTCTGTCCCTGGGCCGGGCCCGGCCCGGCGTAGGTCTGGCAGGGGG